TTCTATAGGCACGCATTTTTTTCTTCTCCTCCTTCAAATTTTTTCTTCTTCTTTTTTTTTTTGCCATTTCACCTGCCCGGAAAACTTGTGAGTGATGGCTACTGTAACATGATCCCTCACGTGCTTACCTCACGGCTGTAAGCTGTAAGCCTCCCCCCTTCCAATAACAATAAATTCATTCTATAGGCACGCATTTTTTTCTTCTCCTCCTTCAAATTTTTTCTTCTTCTTTTTTTTTTTTTGCCATTTCACCTGCCCGGAAAACTTGTGAGTGATGGCTACTGTAACATGATCCCTCACGTGCTTACCTCACGGCTGTAAGCTGTAAGCCTCCCCCCTTCCCATCTATAACGCTGCTAGTTGGTGCCTGGTAACTAAGGGAATTAATAAAAAGGTAAATGTGATTTGGGGGGGGGGCGGGACTGTGGGGTGGGGGAAGGTGGCTAAACAAAAACAAATATGTACGTACAATCTTGGACATTGTACACATATATAGAGATATACACATAGAAATTTTAGATTTCAATAACATTTTTTGACCATGGTTTTGGACGCCGATGTACATGTGTAGGTACCTAGTACACCAGGCAAGGCTACACAAACGGTGTAGGTGTTTAGGTGGAAAATGCTTAACGGTGCGTACGATGTGTTACGGTGCATATGGTGTGTTAAGGTGCGTACGATGTGTTCAGGTTCGTACAGTGTGTTAAGGTGCGTACGATGTGTTATGGTGCGTACGATGTGTTAAAGGTACTACGATGTGTTACGGTGCGTACGATGTGATAAAGGTGCGTACGATGCGTTACGTTGCGTATGATGTGTTAAGGTGCGTGCGATGTGTTACGGTGGGTACGGTGTGTTAAGGTGCAAATGATGTATTAAGGTACACAGGGTGTGTAAAGGTGCATGAGGTGTGTTAAGAATCAGAGGGTTTGTTAATAAGGTACATTAGTTGGGTTACCGTTCATATAGTGTGTTAAGATGCATGACGTATGTTAGGTGCATTAGGGTGCATGATTTGTGTTAAAGTCCACAAGGTGCATAAGGGTTCATATAGTGTGTTAAGATGCATGACGTATGTTAAGGTGCATTAGGGTGCATGATTTGTGTTAAAGTCTACAAGGTGCATAAGGGTTCATATTGTGTGTTAAGATGCATAGGGTGTGTTAAACCAGTGAATGTGTTATCACATTTATCTTTTATATTTGTGTTTTTTTTAACCCTTTTAATCCTGGGCTCCTGGTCCTAAAATACCCATGCCCTGGGCTCGTGGTCCTAAAATACCCATGCCCCTGGGCTCGTGGTCCTAAAGTACCCATGCCCCTGGGCTCGTGGTCCTAAAATAACCATGCCCCTGGGCTCGTGGTCCTAAAATACCCATGCCCCTGAGCTCGTGGTCCTAAAGTACCCATGCCCCTGGGCTCGTGGTCCTAAAATACCCATGCCCCTGGGCTCGTGGTCCTAAAATACCCATGCCCCTGGGCTCGTGGTCCTAAAATACCCATGCCCCTGGGCTCCTGGTCCTAAAGTACCCATGCCCCTGGGCTCGTGGTCCTAAAGTACCCATGCCCCTGGGCTCGTGGTCCTAAAATAACCATGCTCGTGGTCCTAAAATAACCATGCCCCTGGGCTCGTGGTCCTAAAATAACCATGCCCCCTGGGCTCCTGGTCCTAAAGTACCCATGCCCCTGGGCTCGTGGTCTTAAAATACCCATGCCCCTGGGCTCCTGGTCCTAAAATACCCATGCCCCTGGGCTCCTGGTCCTAAAATACCCATGCCCCTGGGCTCGTGGTCCTAAAATAACCATGCCCCTGGGCTCTGGAGGAAAAAATTCTACAAACTGACGCTTAAGCATCAAAATCACATGCTTATAAAATTAAATACATTTTACTTATTTCAATCCAAATATTTCTTTAGTAGTCCATAAGTAATATAAACGTTATCACAAGGATCAAATTGTCGTAGACATGGTATACAATAGCACAGTGGGGATGTTTAAGGCGCAGGCCGATGAGGCGGGATCGAGGGGTCAAAGCGGGGAAAAGGGAAAACGCCAGGTTATTTCGCATGGGTTCACAGGGGGGGGGGGGGGGTCGTGGAAAAGGTTTTAGGACCCTCTGCTCTATTACTTTAAGCCCCAATTCTGTGAATGCCTGTGAATACATTTAGCCCCCCCCCCCCCAAAACCAACAACAACAATACGTGCGCATGTTCGACTTTGACACAGAGAACTCCTTGATTAAGAGTGATATCAGTCGGGTTGTCACGATTACAGGCGTACATGATGACATGGGTATGAAAATGGAATTTTCTGGCCTAATATGTACGTTATATGTGGATGGGTCCCTGACACACATCATACACCAGCAACACGTTAGTATGTGTATGTATCAAGTGTCTTGCTTTCGTGTTATTTTTCCATCAAGTTAATGACCTAAACAAGTGGTCGGAAAACTCATTAGTCAAAGCAGCCATAAATCAAGAGAGGGACGATTTTTAAAAAAAAATTTGAGAGCCAAATTTCTTTTCAAGAACCTGCCAAGAGCCATGTTTTTCGGAGTCAAAACCGATTTATTTCCGCCTGGCCGAGCCGCACTCAGGTCGTTATAGAGCCGCACTCAGGTCGTTATAGAGCCGCACTCAGGTCGTTATAGAGCCGCACTCAGGTCGTTATAGAGCCGCACGCGGCTCACGATTTTCCGACCACTGGCCTGAATACAAAAAAAAAAACAACAACCCCACAACCCTTATTTTGAGGCCCGTTATTCGCAACAAGATGGACACAGCAAGTCGTCGACTGCACATTTTCTCACGCGTCCAATACACCTGTAAACCAAATCTCCACTCCACAGTTCGAGGTATGTTCACGGTGGGGCCGCTTCCAACCGCGGCTCAAACTCGTTTATACAAAAAAAATGCCCAACTTTTACGAGTGCGCTCGATTGTCACGTGTCAACGTAAATCCGTTACTGTGAAAGAGTCTGTCACTTCCTTTATGGGTCAGTAGACAGTTGTGGTCCGTAAAGTTTTGATACCGGCAATGATTGCGTCTATGCAGCCCCCCCCCTCCCTCCCTCCCTTCGGTGGCATTCTCTGGAGGCCATTGACGAGCCGCTAGAGGTCCAGTCAAAGCGTCGGGTGTCAGTGTCAGTTATGTAACGTGACCCGATAAGGTAGATCCAGAAAGGGGTGCCAATGACGTTTGTTTTGTATCCTGTCTTACTGGCTCCATTGAACTTGAAGTAACTGGTGTCAACCGCCTTGGTTCATCACACTTGGGCTTAACCGGGTGCACATTTTTAACTCCGGGTCTGGGTATTTCGTGAAAATACCCGGTGGGTCCAACAAGTGTTACAAAGAAAGAAAAAAAAATAGAGTTAACTTCTCATTTCCTATAATATATGCCGACCTTTAAGCAATATGCCTACAGACAGCCCTACATACAGGCACAGCTTACATGCCGGCCTTTAAACAATAGTCCCACACCCTACCTGCCGGCCTTTAAGCAACAGGCCTACAGACAGCCCTACATACAGGCACAGCTTACATGCCGGCCTTTAAACAATGGTCCCACACCCTACCTGCCGGCCTTTAAGCAACAGGCCCACAGACAGCCCTACATACAGGCACAGCTTACATGCCGGCCTTTAAACAATAGTCCCACACCCTACCTGTCGGCCTTTAAGCAACAGGCCCACAGACAGTCCTACATACAGCCACAGCTTACACTTACATGCCGGTCTTTAAACAATAATTCCACAGATAATCCTACACCATATCCGTGGCTCTTTATTGATCATATAATTATTATAATAGTCGGCTCCCAACAAAAGAATATAAAATCAACCTATTACCGGAGTTCGTACGTCACGCATAAAAGTAAAGCTCGTTGCGTGACAGCCTTCTTTTCACTCAGAACTATCAACATAAATATGTGGAGGGTTTTTTTTTATAATTTTTTTTTGGGGGGGGGGGGGG